ACCTCCCATGTGCTTCTTCATAAAATTGATTATCTATAGAATCACTTAAATTGATTATATGTATGGCCAGTTTGGCATTGCTGTGCTGTAAAAATAATCACTGTCAGATTTGCTGTGAGAGAAATCAGCTATGAAAGAAAGCAGTTTGGCGTTTGGTAAACTTTTTGTTAGAAGTGTGGTTGGTAAAAAAAACACAGGGCTATTTTTGGAATTTTGAAAGTTTCATGAAACCCAGCGCCTCTTCAAAACTAATTCCTGCATAATCAAAAAATAAAAGCAGCTCATCACCTGCTTTCCCAAATTGCTTTCTCTCATAGCAATTATTCAAAATAAGTGATTTTATTATCTTTTACCAAACAGGTTGGGCTTTCAAAAATTTCAAAATAATCACTTATAGCCCCAAATAAGCAATGTCAAACTGGCATGTAGTGTCCGTTTGGCATTGCTTATTTAAAGTGATAAGTGATTTTTTTAAAAAAAAATTTAGAAGCCCAGTTCGTTTGGTAAACTATAAGAAAATCACTTATTGTTAAAAATTGTTGTGAGAAAAAGCTAAAAGGGAAAGCCGCTAATGAAGAGCTTTCATTTTCTGATTATGCAGAAATTAGTTTCGAAGAGGCGCTAGGTTTAATGATTATGCTGGAATCATTTTCTGATTATGCGGGAATTAAAACCAATAACGTTTTTAACAAAAAGTTTACCAAACGCCAAACTGTTTTCTTTCACAGCAAATCTGACAGCGATTATTTTCACAGTACAGCATTGCCAAACTGGCCCATAGAAGTGATTCTCCATAAAAATAATTATTGGCCTATCCATAATCACTCCCAAACGAACTCTAAGTACTTGATTGAGTAATATTTTTTTTTCACTTTGCTAGACAAGGTCTCAAGTTTGAAACTTCATTCCCTTTAAATTTTGTTTTTATTATTTTTTTTATTTTTTTTATAAAAGGAGAATGTATATATGCTCTAATAAATTGCGCGAGTACCATCTATCTCTCTAGTTGTGTTATCACATATTTTTTTTTATTTATTATTATACAAAAGTTTACTATATGGAAATAAGGTATTGTGTAATTGCTATGATATATTTAGCTTTTATATCTATGAATAAACAACACAAGTATATTTGACATTTTTTATGTAAAAAAATTATTATTTATTTGAGTATGCATGTCAATTGATAATGGTACTCATTGAACATTAGATTTTCATTGCGTTAGAACTGAGACATGTGGTGGTAGTAGTAGTGGCGGCAATGGCCCGACCCTTAAATTTTTGCCCAAGCTAATCCACACGGGTCATACTTCTTCGAGCTTGATCAGGCTAGGCAGCCCGCTCAATAAAAATATATATCGGGTGTATTTAGATGGGTTGGGCAGTTATCCGAGGTTGAATTTAAAACCCTTTGATCCATTTTTTTTTTTTTTTTTGGGTAAAGCCTTTGATCCAAGTCTTATCCAATACAAAATTGAGCATGGCCAACCCACTTATGTCTTCAATCCAAAAAGGGTTTTGATATATGGTGAGTTCTGGCCGGTATTCTTCGAGCCATGAGGTGTGGGCCAAATGAAAATCCTTAACGTGTAACTCACTTATTGGATATCAGTTACCATCGTACTTATTTGTAGGGGTGACATTTTAAACCGAAAAACATTAGTTTATTTATACTAATGTTATTTATGCTTCTTCTTATAATAAAATGTACTAAACTATGTTGTTTTATTTGTAAATAACATTGGTACTCAAACAACACAACGGGGTTCTTCAAATCCACTCACCACCAACACTTGAGTTTGTAACTTTAGTTTGTAACATTGGTGCATTGCATTTTCCTTTTAGTTTGTAACTTTAATTAACTTTGAATTGGATTTTTCTTTTTTGTTGTAACTTTAATTCATTTTGCTTTGCATTTTCCTTTTGGTTTATAACTTTAAAGGATTTGGAATTGGAATACTTGAGAAGTTTAAATTTAATTGGAATGCTTGGAATTGTAACTTTAATTTTCTTAGATTGTGAATGCTTGAGAAGTTGAGAAGATTGTGAATTTATATATGTTTGGGAAATTGAGGTTGTGTATTTATTTAGGTTGTGAATTTATATTTTTGTGAATGCTTGCGAACTCGCGGTTTTAAACCACAAAACGCGGTCGGTTTGCGGTTTGAGTAAAAATTCGCGGTTACCGAACCGCAACCACCCCTACTTATTTGTATAATCTAATTGTAATAATCAATACAGGAGGTCCCAAGTTCAAACTCTCATTGCATCTTAGTTGTGTATATGTGTGTGTAAGAGAAATCCGCATCCCCTTTAGTTTAGACTATCGCTTGTACTAAAAAAATAAAAAATAAAAATCAATACATTTTTATTGGTTGTTAAATTGTTTGAGTGAAGTTCAATTAATTACACATAAAAATATATCAATTCGAACAAAAATGCAAGTAACATTATAATTGAACAGACATCTTGATTCACATTATCGATGTGTTGCATAGGCGGAACAATTGATATTTGCTAATGAATAAAACTAACCCACTCATGTGTATTGTTATTACATAATCCATCCTACTTTGGAAAACCCTAGCTCTGAGGTTTTTCAAGATTAATGGCCATAGCTAGGAGGAAATGCATAAGAACCAAGCCCACTTGGATTAGTATCAAAGTTGGGATTGGTTTGTTGGGCAGAAGAAGAGGAGGCATCAAAAGCATTTCTCCTCTCCTTAAGATGGTTGGTGATAGTCATGTGTAGTTCTGCCATTGAAGCGTATGTTTGTTTAAGCTCATTCACATCAAGCTCATCAAGAGATGCATTCCACCAAAACTCTTGATTATTTCCCCTTGTCTTAGATATCTTTTCGAGCAACTTGCGTCGCTCCTTCAGAGCTTCTAATTGGATTAGAAGCTCATTAAAAAGTTGGATGAGATCCGCGATTCTCATTTTTTGATGAACCTCCATGATTTGGTGAGTGTACTCGTTGTTTTCCAGTTGATTTTGATTTAAAAATCGATTGATAACAGCATCAACGGATGGGTGACCAAATGAGAAAGGCTTACCAGAAGGTGAGAAAATCACAATGGCCACCTCCCCACCACATAGTGTTATCATATCGCTAGCTTTCTTGGATATCCCAGATCTTCGTTTCGAGAAAGAAACGAGAAGATCGTCTTCCTTTTCGATCTTCTTCATCTCTATCCTTTGCCTTCCTCTTGTTTTCTTGCCTTCACTGGCCATTTTTTTGGGTCTCCTTCAAAGGAAAAATAAGGAATTTGGAAATAATGAAGAAGGCCTTGTTGGTTTGTTTTTCCCTTCATTTGATGTGCTTATATAGGAATAGAAACTGCATCTTTGCTAAATTAATGCAGGTTGACCATGTGGATATGTTTCCAAGTTGTCCTCTCTTCATGGATATTTTACACTCTTTAAATATAATTAGTCATATATTTTTCCTAAAAAACATTATTTTGCCATATATTAATTGTCTTTTATGCCCTCATTTTTGAGTCTTTGACGAATTTGTTGTGCAGGCGTCCATCGGCCCATGAATGTCATTGGCACCATCACATCACAAGCATCTCTTTCTCTAGGATCAATAACTTCAGCTTAGTATTGTTCACCATATTTCTGTTGAGGCTTTCTTATCTAAAGTTTAAAATGTTTAGTATGTTGATATATTGCTTTCATCATAAACTAATGTTTTGTTTGATCACCTATATATGTTTGGTGCAAGCCTGATTTTTTTTTTCTTAAATCCGAGCATAATATGCACATACTTTTTAGTTGATCGTTAACTAATTAATTGTTATGTTATAAGTTGGAACTTTTTGTCTCTACAAAAGATACAAACATGAAAGTTGTATATGTTACGTTACGTTATATGCGTCCGCACTTTTAAATTGAAGTTAATTAAAGCTACTTCATTAAAACATGACACTTTTTCTTTGCTTACAAATGATATGAACATAATATATAGTATGCACACACTTTCTACAATCATACTAGATTCAAAAAATTCAATTAATTAGCTCTTGTTATATGTATAACATATTATGTCAATTCATCAAGAAATTTATAGTGAGGGCTTATATATGGCCTTTAGGTGATGCCCTATTTCTTAACTGTTGGATGAAATTGGTTAGCCGTTAAATCAAATTAGTTAGCCTGGTCCAACGATTAAGAGATATAACATCATCTAAGAGTCATATATAAAGCACTCACTGTAAAATAACTCGTCAATTCATATTATTTGGAAACAAATGAGCCTCAATGTAGGCCCAAATTCGATAGTTTATTGGGCTTCAGTCCAACACTTAAGAAAAAAGGAATTTATAAAAAAATAAAATAAAATAAAAGTCTTGCTTTACCCACATAGTTTCTTCATTTAAAATTCAAGTGGGAAGTATTGTATCAACTAGTATCCAAATCCCCAGTTTACTTGCTCTAACATTTAGGACTTAGATTTTGCATACTGTCACATCAAATGTGTAAAATAAATTTAATGAAACATCCTCGCACCAACATAAAAAATAAAATAAAAAAGTAATTAACATTCCACAAAAAAACTATTTTTAAGAAAAAGAGGAAAGACAGAGAGACTAGAGCCAAATTTCTAAAACTTTACCATACTAATATATATATATATATTTATAAAGTAATTAACAGTCCACCAAAAATTATTTTTTAAAAGTAAATAGAAGACAAAATACTAGAAGCCTATTGGCTCACGGCTTGGGGCTGAGAGATTATTGGCTCACGGCTTGGGGCTGAGAGATTATTGGCTAAATGATTATGATTTGTACCAAGTCAAACCCGTTGGGTCAAAAAGAGATGATTTATTTGATTTTGATATTCATGGTAGAATCAAAGCCACCCGCGTGCGGGAATCAGACGAAAGACAGTATCCGTCCAAATTACGAATTTACCCTCGGTGTTTTGAGGTAGTTACCCCAGCTGCCACCTTGATTTTCCTCTGTGAAGTGAAATTCGAAGGCTGTGTTTTTTTTGGTTGTGGGGCAAAATCGCAAAAAAAATCAACCAAACAGCACACAGATCTGTCATGAAGGATACCATCAAGGAGAAGGGTCATATTCTCCGTCCGTACGCTTCTTCTCAGTCCCAGACCAAAAGCTTTTGCTTGACAAGCTCTTTGTTTTGTCTCTTTTTTAATTTTGTTTAGAGAGAGAAAAGGTGGGTTATTGGGGGGAGAGAGACAGAGAGAGAGAAACACAGACAGAGAGTTAAGAGCCTTTAGAGGATGTTTGAATTGAGAGAAGGCTCTTGCTTTCCAAGGGTCTTGGTGGGTGTGAATGTTGGTCTTGCTCTCGTTGATGGCATTATAGCTGTTCTTGCATTTTGTCAGGTTTGTTTCTGCTGCTGTTTTTTATTTGATTATTGTGCTCAGTTTTGTGTGCTCTTGCATTTTCGAATTGGGTTTTTTGGAAAGTTAGTATGTCGTTTTGTTTGGTATGATAATATCGTGGGAAAGCCAATGTGCATTGGGCATGTGCTAAAGTATGAAGCTTGAGGAATGGGATTGGTTGCACTTTGTGGGCTTGAATGTTTTGGATATGGGCATTTTGTTTTTACTTGGAATGTTTCTGAGTTTTTGAGAATTTTACTTCTCATTTGATTTTATTGTTGGACTGATAATTGGATTCTGTTTTGCTTAGTTAATACTGAGCTTATGGAAAGGTACTGTCCTATGCTAGTTTAAGCGCCATCTAAAAGTTATAGGATTGGCATTGAAGTGAGAACAATGAAACAGTTGGACTATTCCATTTTAATGAACAGTTAATCTATGTTGGTACAATCGGGAAGCTTAATACTCCTGAGCTGAACTGTGTCATATGTTTGTGAATGTCTTGATTTTAGACCAACCGGAAACTATATTTGTTAGAAAGGTCTGGTTGAGAGCGGGCAGTGGCCCTATTTGTTGCTTAGGTTTTAGTTCGACTCAGGGAAGTAACTTATTACCCTCAAGATTCATTCTTATGTTTATGTGTACTTTGATGTGACATCAACCTTGGAAAACTGGCGAAGTCCATGATTGATGTCTATGAAGTTCTTTTATTAAAATGACTCTGAGGGTTTTTTTACTTACTATTTCAGTTAATCAGGATTCACTCAAGGAATTCACAACTTGGCTGGACTCGCCAAAAAGTAAGTGATGAGTCATGCTTTATTATTCCTTATTCAAATTCAGATTTTATTTGTTTTTCTTCTTGTGTTTGTGTGTGTTTTTGTCTATATATATGTGGAATATGTACATAAATACATGCATATACACACATGTACATACATACCAACACACACAGACACAGACACACATATGTATATATGTATATGTATGTATGGTTGTGTGTGTGTGGATGCATGATGTATGTAATGTTTAGAAGATATTGTTAGCTGGCTGGATTAACCTAGTTGTGCTGGATCTGGTTGACTGGTTAATGGATGGACTGAGTTTGCTGTCCTTGATCTTTTCCTGTTAAGTAGTTTGACATCATAAGGCTTCCTAGGAATCTGTCCTAATGTGAAGAATTTTGAGCGACTGTATTATGCTGTACTCGAATACATTTAGAGTCATAGAATCAGCAGCACCTTAGGTTGGATCTCATATAAAGTTTTATCTATAGCAATCGTTCCTAAGGACTTGGTAAGAAAATTAAATTAGCCACCAGAAGAGCAAATAACTGATGCTTAAGTCTCTCACATAGAAGAGATGGATAGATTGGGAGGAAAATGATGAATGGGTACATCATAAATGTGCATGACGGCTTTTAATGCACCCTGCTTTAGTTTTGGTTGAATCCATATTCACTTATGCACTGATGGTACAATTAATTGAAATGGAAGCTCACTAAAGCATGCTGTCATTGTAATGCTTCTCTGCAGGTTTTTCATCTGTTGATTGGCTCTTCTAATTTGGGTAAGAATCTACAATTCCCAATATGCTATTGCCTTCTATTCTTTATCTGAGTTCTGTATATTCTCTTCCAAGGATGTTTGGCCTTAAGTATGATGCTTATCACGAGACTTGCTATTTTGGCTCTCTTTTCGTGGCTATTCTATATATATAAAGCTAATTTTGTAGCAGCTTTTTGGTGCTTATATGTAATTATTCATGAGTTTGGACTCACAAAAATAGCCATTTGCATACATAATGGATGATACAAACTGCACTAATAATTTTTACCATTAACTTGTGATTTCGACAAGCATATATATTTACATCCTTGATCCAAACTGAATTAATTTATTTGGTCTTGTCTATGACAGGTTGCTTAGTTTATTTTGTATTAACTCTTTTTGCTGCTTGCAAGGGGTGGCAATGTTGGTCTAACTCTTGTGGTTTTAGCCTCATGGGTATGCTTTCTGTCTCAAATAAAGGGTATATTATCTATCTTCTGAACTTGGCCAAAGCATCTGAACACTAAGAATTTTGCTTTGCAGCATTACCCAAAATTCTGTTTTTTGCTGCATTTCTTCTACTTTTATCATTCTGGTAAGTTTTTCATTTCCTTTCCGTTTTTAAATCCGAAATGATTTCATGAAAATTTGAAAGAGGTGTAGTGATCTTAGATTTCTTTGTCTATTTTGGATACACCGACCTGTCTTTTATGTTATGGGTAAGCAACAATGTTATTTCCATTCATAAAGACAGAGAGATTGAGGTGGATGTTACCCATAGGACTAGAGAGTAAGAAGGATGAAGTGAAAAAGTGAATTAGGAGTATTATGTGACCATAGAATACCTCTCAAGTTAAAAGTATAACAGTACAATACGGCTATAAGACCAATGGTGTTACATTGTACATAGGACGAGGATAACTGAAATGTAGATGTTAGGCTGAATAAACGAGGATTCCTTGAGAAGTATATAGATAATAAATTAGCATTTCTTGAGAAGTAGCACCCATATATTTCTAAGTTATGGATCATCAACTCCCATATAGAAGATATCACTCATTATTTTTGCTGTTTCTGTCTTGTTAGTGATTTTTGAAATCCATTGCTTATGGATTTTGGAAAAATGCCGCTTTGATGGACTTGTGGTGTGCCTGTCCTGTCCTGTTTTTTCTTTTCCCTAGGACATTCTATTATAGTTGGGATATGGTGTTGATTACTAATGTCTCTAATTCGGTGTGTTTTTTTTTTTATGAGCCATCTGAAAATAGAGATCTGGAGTGCAATTTGAAGTATGAAAAGTTGATATTGCCTTTCTTGATAATTTTAATGAAAAGATTGTTTCTTTTGAGCTATATTTGACATTTTCCTGGGGGGGTTTATTTTACCTTTAGGGTTGACCTGTGCCATCAGGCAGATGATGAGGATGAGGAGGATGAAGGGAGTTTTCATGAAGCTTTGTTGGAGAAGACATTTAGCAAACGGAATTCAATGGAAACAGATAGTCATAGAAACTGTTTTCCTCTGCGTTTTGTTCATATTGGAAGCCGCCAGAGAATTGTAATTCTGGTATTGCCACAGTTCAAAGTTTTTTGTTCAATGTCTACTCATATATGATATAAGATATAGTTCATAATTATTGTAATTTTTTTCCTTAAAAGACATCTGTTCCGCAAATAATGTCTAGTTGTCTACCAGGTTACCGTGGTAGTTTTTGTTATAATGGTGGCATGTGCAGTGATAATCTGGATTGGGATGGGAAAAAATCCTATTGATTCTGCAGTGGTGGCTCGGGTATGGACCCTTGCTTGTTTTCATGTACATGAATGCTCTTTCTTGAGGCTGATTTAGAGATTTCAAATAACCTATTTGGGCATGTAGCAAATATTAATGTCAACCAAATATGCAGCTTTTTTTCTTCATTCTTATTTCTAATTAACAAGTAGTTAAGCTTTGGTGCAATGACTTTTATCATCATGCAGGTATACGTAGATCTGTTTGCAATAGCAATACTATTGTTAGGAGGAGCATTAGCATGTTACGGTGAGTAACTATCATTTCACACACTTGTATTTTCTTGCATTTTTCAAGTGCAACTCCCCCCTGTACTTATCATTCGATCTCTTGAAGTTACATTTTGCGTTGTCTTTGATTTTCAGGAGTCCTATTATGCTTGAGAATGAGAAAAGTTAGATCTGAGAGAGCTTCTTCTGAGATGTGGAAGGTATTTAATCTATTGCTGTAATATAATATATTTTTATTTTATTGATTGCAATAATCTGATGTTGTACATAATTTCATTCATCTGTCCATTGAATTATCAGATCATTCAGAAAATGTTTTGTTTGACAAACAGATATCCGTGCTTTATAGTCCATCACTTGCTTTTATGTTTTTCTTGACAGGTTGCAGGTTTATCTGTTGTTTCCATTCTATGTTTCGCCTCAAGCGCCTTTGTGGCTCTATTAACTGATATTCCTGTACGTACTTAATTATTAGCCATATAATCTTTGCTTTATTCACATATCCAAGTCAGTTTAATATATCTCTCAAACTTCACCATACTGTTTTGCAGATGCTTTACCATTGGCATCAACAGCGTTTGAATGATGTTTATACTTCTCTTTTACTGATTTTATATTATTTTGTAGGTAGGTAATTGTAATTTTCTTTTCCTGTTTGCAATTAAATGAATCCTGTTCTTTTATCTACAGGGATTCATAATCATATTGTTTGAGTTTATGATGTTTACATTGTTTTTCTCAGGTTCATCAATACCCTCAGCATTTGTACTATGGATCATGAGAGAATTACCACCCTTGATAACAGCTAACATACGAGAAGAACCAACTACATTAACTTTCGTCAGTGATGGTTCCACATCATTACAACATCCTCAGAGCTGGACTACTGCAATGAGCTTGCGGAACCAGGTTCGACTTCCTCTCTCAGAACTATACTTTTAATTTATGTTTAACTGCCGTTAACCGTGGGTAAAAGTCCCCAATTTCTGTCCCATTTACCATGCATGCTAAATATGGTCTTTAAGCATATAGGAGAAGAGTTAAGATTACATTTCTTTTTCTTTTTAAAGAAAGTAGTTGTTACAGAAGTTTGTTTCCGTATTTCGTATTTACACTTCTACTTTGTTGCCTACTAGAATTTGTTACGGTACAGTAGCTAGGTTTTACAGTAACAGACCTGTTTGAAATCTCTATTTTGTTTGTAAGGTAAGTAATTCAGGTTTATGCTCGTTAAGTTTGGGTTTCAGGTGCAGATATCAAGAGCAAGTCCCATATAACACTTCTCCTCTATGCAAAAAGTGTGCTGTCTCACTAACGTTCCTGTGTGCAAAGCATGTCCTTCCTCTCCCAGTTTATGAAGTGAGCTGGAATCAGTGAAGAATTAAGTCGGATAAACTCTGACACCGATATGACAAGATCTATTGGGCGTTTGAGTTATATTGTTGACAGGCAATTTGTGTACAGCCATAAGTCACCATTGCCATGTTTTTGACATTCTAGGGATGTACATAGCAACAATATGCTAATTGAGGGGTTTATTTATTTATTTTTTCTGTTTTGATAGTACTTTGATGTGCTGCTTCGTTCTGCATATATGGCATCAGATGATTCCTTTTCATTGTGCAATTCCTCAAAAGAAAATAAAAATAAAAATGAAACAACGTATTATTTCAAAATGAACTCAGATACAATTCCTTAGCGCGTGAAGTTTCTTTCAAATGTCAAAATGTCAAATGATTGATCCAACCAAAATGAGAATTACACGTCCTAGATCATATAGGAAATGTGAAACAGGACATAGCTGGGTAAACAAGTCTCAATTACATCAACAGCTTTAAATTTAGACGGATAAAATGTTTCATAGTTAACCCATAAGCCGCACTCATGAAGTCTGCATAAAAATATATCTGTGCAAGAAAGGCCCCAGTGAATCTGAATTATGAAGATTGCAACTCCTGTAAACAATGCCTCAAGTCACACAAGATTTTATCAAACTCTCAGCAAGTTTCTGTCAATTTGTTTTTAATCTTTATGCTCTTGTTCTCCATTACGTTTTCAACTCGGAATTTTCTTCTTGACAACATGCAAAGCCTGATTTTTGGACAAACCCAAAACAAGCAGTCAAGAGAACTCAAATGATGAGATTTTGGAAAAGGTAGTTGGTTCAAGAGGAGGATAAACAGCTGTTACAGCAATACTAATCAGTGGAGAGAAGCTGATTGTAGCAAATGTTGGGGACTCCCGGGCAGTTTTATGCAGAGATGGATGGTGTAGCAAAATAGAAAACTGTGGATCACGCCGAAGAAGGAGAAGGAGAAGGATCTTGTTGAAAGCACAGGTGGTCTTGTATTGGACAGGCCAGGTACTTGGTATACATTTTTGTACACTTGGGAACTATTGGCTTGTACTAACTATGCAATTTATTGTGGAGAAAACCCATCATTGAACTTACATGATCTCAACAGATATTTTTATTGCTCTGTTTTGATTACATCATTCTCTGGTGTTAACATCTGATGATGAAATTAAGAAACATTCCACATGTGGATGGCCAACTAGCTATGACAAGGGGCATTTATGGACGGAAAACTAAATACGATCAAATAACTTCAGAAGCAGATGTAAAGGTTAAGAAGATTGACAATGAAACAGATTTCATCATTTTGGCAAGTGATGGCTTGTGGAAGGTAAGCTCAAGCTTTTAGCACAACTTGATTAAATAATGACAATGTATTTCAAATTTAGTCCTTCCAAATGCTTGAAAGCTTTTATCTGTTTTATGTAGGTGATGTCCAACCTCTTATGATTGCATTCAGCTCCTAATTTACCCAATCCCTCTCTCACATCTATAGAAGTAGATTTGAAATTGAATTGATGAAGTGATCAAAGCAACTCCTATGATCTACTTGAAGTTAGCAAATGAGACACATAAGGAACTCAGCCCCTTGGAATTCGAAGTATGTCAATGTCATAATTGATGAGTATTCATTTGATGTTGGTTGTCTTAACTCAAGGTCTGCTTCAATATACCTACGATTCACATTTTAGATAGTATCATGATGATGAGTCATAGATGCATGCTTGTAGTCCTAGCTAGTGTAAAAATCTTATCTCAAGTCAAGTAAGAGTAAGCATTTCTATTTGGGTTTGGTGATTTTCTTTCATTTCTCTATTGCTTTAACTGCCATCAATTACACCAACAAAAGTAAAACAATAACAACATTTTCTATTTCTCCAAACCACAAAAAGCCCAAGCAAATTCCAAATAATCTTCCTCACAAACAATAAAAACAAAAATAAAGGCCATTAAGCACGTTTACTATGCTATATATCCTCATCCAAATACGTACTGCCAACATTTAAAAAAATAAAAAAAATCACTACAGTGCTTGCAGTAATTAACCATTGGAATTTGGATCTGTCTACAAACAATCCAAACAAAATCAGTTACAGCTTAATTTCATGACTTAGTAAGGGCAAGTGACCAACTTCAATTACTTCCCAAAAATAATATTCTTCCTATCAAAAGTATTTTCAAAGATCTCCATTCTCTACCTCTTTCAATGGAGCATACTCGAAAGAAAAAGCACCGGTATAAGGGTCGCCATTAAAAACAACAGAAGGATAATATTTCTTCTCGCTGCTTGGGCACTCATAACTTATGTGTTCACCTTCCTTCCTACATATTGAACAAATCTTGAAGACTGCACGTCCTTGGCTTATGCGACATTTGGCACAACATGAGCCTCTAAAGCGGCAGCTGCAAACCTTGCAATTGACCACACAACCACTGCCAACAATGGTGTTCTTTGGGACATCAGATTTGTAAGGGCAAAAGTGTGAAATGTCCTTTAAACAATACAAACATTCACCTGTGTGCAATTTGAAGATCCATTGTTAAATACAACAAAAGCAATAAGTATTGTGAGCACATGATCGACATAGAATAACAACAAATATACATAGATATTATTTCATAAGAAGTGAAATATATGTAAATAGAGAAGATAAGCTGCAGACACATTTTTCTTTTTCTTTTTTGTCTCTATAATCAAAAGCATACGAATAGGATTAGCAGGGAGGAGGGAGGGTGTGTCTAATTTTTTTTTTTTTTGGGTTCGTAAAATCATTAAGACAACAAGGTCTATCCTAGTGAAAAAAGGACCCTGACTTGCAAACTACTTGATAGTGTGCGTGATGAGAAACCCACATATACTTGCAGTTTAGACTAACGCTTGTATTAAAAAAAAATTTCAAAAGCATACCAATAGAACTCTTATCCTTTGGTGCATCAGCCTTGATACATGTTTGCAGCAATTACATTGTTCAATATAAATAAATAAAAAGTGTTGAGTCAAAGAAGTCAGAAGGAATGACATCTATGATCCCATCAACAAATAACTATATTATTAAATATCAGCTATGCATCATGCATACACCAAAATAACTTGGCTAGAGAAATCCTATTTTCAACATGATATAGAATAACAGCAAATATATAGATATTATGTCATAAAATAGAGAAGTTGCAAAAATTTAATTTTTTGTCTCTAAAATACGATTACGACGGAGGAGGGTATCTAGTATGTTTTTTTCTTTTCTTCCTTTTTTGTCTTTAAAGTCAATAGGCCAACGAGATCTAGTATAGAGAAAAAGGGACTTAACGTTCAAACCAATAGTCTCTGGTTCGAACTTGTGCGTGAGAAACTCACCTCTAACTTGTAGTTTTTTTTTTTTTTTTGGAATCGAATAGAAACTTCATTAGATAAACTTCAACGGTACAATCAAAGACATCAACAAGACATATAAAATACCAATCCCAAGAGGGCAACAAACTAACATTCTAAAAGCAAAACTAATGCGGACAAAAACCGCACTAAAACTACTAGCCCACATCACCACAATTAGCCATAAGCCCAAACAAAGCCCACATACCCATCATAACCAAAACCCTAAATTAACCCATGAGCCTAAACGAACCCTACCACCACCACCTGAAGAAGCTCCGTCACGGCCACACTCACCACCGCATCCGTAACAGATATGGGGAAAATATGATTTTCAGCGATCTACATGCGTATAAGAGCGAACAAATAAACAAAAACAATAACTTTGCCAAAGAAAAATTGGTGATTTGCAGCAACCTTCGACAAAGACGATGTAGAAAATACAAATGACAATACAACACCCAACTGAGTGACCTCTGCAACTAATATTTGAGTTGAGTGACCAAAATGTAACTCCGAGTATAGTTGAGGGACCATTGCTACAAATAACCCTAAATTTAAAGAAACACGAGCGGCATCGAGGAGCGGGTTTTGGGAGTAGGATTTGATTGAGGACTTAGAATAAAAAGGGTGATGGGGAACTTCAATCTAACCATAGCTTAGAAGAAACCAAGGATTAAAATATCGGCCGTGCAGATAATATCGGGCCTCCAATTTATAGATATTTCGGGGGATATATCGTTATCGTTTTAGGTATTGGGAAAAAATCAACAAAAAAGACAGATATAGGCATTGAAACACATAATCTTTGTGTAAAACTTTTATAGATGTTATATACATTATCAATGAATGTATTGAACAAATAAAACTGAAAATTTACTAATAATAAGACATACATTGATGAAATATAAGTGGTATGTAATGCGAATTAATGAAAAATTTGAAAATAAAATTTTGATTAGAATGAATAAACCATGCATAAATCCATAGTTTGTTTAAACATTAGATTACAATTTAGATAAGTGTCCACCTACATAAATGAAGAGCTCCTATGAGGTTCAAACAATGAGGAACAACCATCCAGATTCATACAATAGTCATACCAAGTCATGTAACCCGAGCAGTTTATAAGCCATGTTAGAACATGGGGCACATAAGTCTCTCTCGAGCTCCTTACTGTCCTCCCATATATGGGATAGTTAGGATTAACACAACTAGTAGGTCCATAATCTGTTTCATCATCTTGAGCTCCATAACTAGTTCAACTATAATCAGACATGACATAACCATAGCCATCATAAGATTCATTTGAGTTAGTACTAGGTCTAGTTTCTATGCTCATAGATCCAAAACTGTTCCCCATGTCCTCTTCAGATGGATTGAAGGTATGTGGCCAGTGGACTGTGCACAGATTCTTCATATTAATAAATTATAGGGTCTGGGCAAGGATTAGCAATTTTTGGGTTTCAATTTGCTTCAATTGCCTTCAAAACTTCTGAATTTTTTTTGGGTTCTGTTATGGGTATCAGGAAATATAGGGGATATCGGCAAAATATTGGAAATATCGCACTTATCGGGAGATATATCGTTGATACAGGTGAAGATATGGCCTTACCCCTCAGTATCGGTGTCGATAGTTGAAAATACCGATATATCGGCAGATATATCGGTGTATCGGCCGATATTTCAATCCTTGGAAGAAACCACCACAAGAGGTTTTTTATTCAAAATGCCCCAGTGGACTTATTTACTAACCTAAAAAGAAAAGACAAGAAGAGAGGAGGGGAAGGAGGGACAATGACACTTCTTCCTCCTCCCCCCTTCTATGGAATTTTCCTTCAGGACTCATAGAGGGAGAGAGCGGCTAGACTCTAACTTGCAGTTTAGACTATCTCTTGTATTCAATAAAAAAAAAACAAACAAACAAAAGCATACAAAAAAAGAAAGGATTAGGAGGTGGGGTCCAGTGCAATTTAAAATAAGTCGAAAGTTCTTCGAAGCATTGTTTTGCAACCTTTCGTTCTTCAGCTTTGCTATATGTATGCATGCAATTAAATTGTTAAATATAAAAAGAAAAATAAAAAGAATGGGTGATGATGTCAAAGAAATTAGAAGGAATGACATTGATCCAGTTAAAAATAACTTTATCATTAAATATGGACTAACCATCATGCACGCACACCAAAATATGGCTTGAAAAATTCATCTCCAAAAACCGATTCAAAATTTTTGCACAATATATATCCTCTAATTATTACAACTACAAAAGTAAAATTTATAATAACACTTTGTTTTTTTTCCAAACCACTCAAAGCCCAAGCAAATAACACGTGGTCTTATCCTTTTGGGGGAATGCTAGTAGCATTCTCTTTTGAATCTTCTCCATTTTCCTCATGACATGTGTCATTTTCTTTACACTTAAAATAACGTCATCAATCATCACACAAGCTAATTTTTCTTTTCCAAATTAACCCTTAGTAAATAAATAAATATATTTTACAACAAACTAGTATTTTAACAACTTTCTTTCCAAAACAATTCAACCCATAACAAACTCCAAGTTAATTAAAAAGCATAAATATAACCAAGCACTTAAATCCTCTATGATCCCCAAATCAATTTTGGGATCAATTCTTTAACAAACACAAAAATTGGATTTGGTGGAGAGCAGAGTGTTGCAGAGAGTGGGGGAGGGGCTGCTGGGCAGTGGGGGTGTACGTGTATTGGAAGGGTTGGGGGAAGTCGTGGGATACAATAAATTAATAAATTAATTTACATACATTAAGTAATAAAAATATATAAAGTTTGAAGGAAAAACAATTAAAAAGTAGGATACATATCGACAACTGTTCGCGCACCTCCGTCTTCATCTCGTCAGGCATAACCTTCCAAGACTTCTATTTCATCGGGCAATGGGTCAGAACGACGTGACCAATGTCATGGGCCAATGAGCTATGTTGGTCCGCCATTGGTGTAGCCCGATGCTACTCGTCGTATACAATGTTGATATGACTGTTGGTCACCCGAGTGACCTTCGCCATCTTCAACTAGCGACAAGGTCCCCGGGTGTTCTTCTTGGCTGCAAAGAAATATAAACTTAACGTTAAATAACAAATCCTACTAAAATCTTGGTCCAAAACAATTGGAGTTCAAGGAAATATTTACCTGGTTGTGACCTCGACGCACCAGTAGCAGATGTCGATGTTGTGTCGGTCGTGCTAGGGGGCAGTGACGACGCCTAGCGCTAATAGGTTGCGCCATTGATGACGCTGATGACGCCAGCACATGGGAGACCTCGGGACCAACCGACAAGTGGTCCATCTGTGCTGGAGCAGTGGCAGCTGCCGACTAAGCCGGGGGAGGCGAAATCTGTGCAGTCGTCACCGCCTTACGACTTCTAATAAGGTTTGACATCTGCACAACTGAACAAGCATCCAAGAAAAAGTAATCAAACAAATAGGAACTCATTCAAGAATATCTCAACAAGCAAAGATGGTGATACAAGAAGGAAAATAAATATTGAAACGTGGGAAGTTTGAGCCAGGAATGAGGATTCTATAAGTTCTAATGCCACCAAAAAAATAAAAATAAAAAATAAAAAATCTACATGGCTTCAAATAACATGATTGGTGAAGACAACACAAACTTCAGGGAAATTCTATCAAAGTGCAGCAATAGAAAGAAAAAAAACACGTGCATTGATTTTACTCAAGGCACATGAAGACAAACAGAAAATTACAGAGATATGTGCACAGAATCACGAGCATGAAATAAAATCAACTCAATCATCCACAACCAAATAAACCAATGTACACAGAAATTTTCTTTGAACTGATGCAAGCCAAGGGTGCAGTATTAAATTAAACAAAGTTGCATTATTGATTAGCTCAGAACATTATCAACTTCAGCATGCATTCTAATAAAAATCTCTATCCCCAAACTACTTCAACCATCTCTCAATTCACAGGCAAAACCATGTTCAACCAACCCCAACATTAGAGTAACACTAAACAAGATAAACTTATACAGCAAACAAGAAAAAGTCACCGAAAATATGGACAAAATGAAGCCTTTTTTTACGGCAACACACGGTTCAAATATACAAACTGTCAAATATACAAATAGTTGAAATTTATAGAAAATCCAGAAAATCCAGTTCCAAACTTAATCCAGAAAATCCAGAAATACAAATTTATAGTTGAAATTTATAATTGGGGCTAGAGTTGGGAATTTTAACAGAGGGGGTTTTGAGGGGAGACCAGGAGAGAACGAGACCAGCATGCAGGCGCGAAGCTCGAAGGCCGTAGTCTCCAGCGGTGGCGAGAGAGAGAGAGAGAGAGAGAGGGGCCGTCATCTGGGGGCAGTGCTTTGGCCGTCGTCTCTGGTTCGAAGAGAGGGATGAGAGGGGTCGAAGGAGAGAGGGCCTGAGAGGGATGAGAGGGGTCGAAGGAGTTATGAACAAAACTGCGCCTTTTTTTCAGAAAATTTTTGCGAATTTGCGCAACAACTAAACTCTGGCGTCGCGCAAGGTAATATTTCACAAAAAAATTATCGAAACCTGTGCGATGTAATAGTAAAATGACGTTGCGCAAAGACTTTTTTTAGAAGCGGGAAGTGGACCGACAAAATTTTTGCAAACTTGCGTGATGACGAAACTACAGTGTCGCGCATGGTAGCAACCAGTGCGACGAAACAATCATCATTTCGTTGCGCAAACCCTAAACACTGAACCCTTAACACTAAACAATAAACACTAAACCCTTGAAATTATAACATTGCGCGACGTAATAGTCATCATTGCGTTGTGCCAACCTTAACCCTAAACCCCAAACCCTGAACCCTAAACCCTCAAAAATTATAACATTGCGCGACGTAGCATGCCTTGGCGTGAAACAATATAATAAAAAATTATTGATGAATCATATTAAAAAATCGGCAAGTATTGTGAAATAATAGAAATAATTAATGATGAATTTTAATTATAAAAAAAAAATTATGACATTAAGTCGTTGCAATTGTTTTTTTAGCATTTTTATCATCACTTTCGGTCTCAATCCTCTTCCTCTATAACTACATCACTGTCCCTATTCATCCATAAACCCCTTCGTATGCCCATTCTTTCCAAATCAAGACGAGCTTTGATCGTGTCCTTTGTCTTGCCCTCGATATCTAGAATCGTGCCCATCAATGTGGCAAATTATATGGGAATACGAAAATCGGTCAAGTGCTGTGATGTTGGTTTAGAACCCCGTACGGATTCAATTCGTCAGTGGCAAGTTCCAATCTAACATTTCGGGGATAAGCAGCAAACTCGGGAAACGTTCGATCGAACTTATTCCATGCCTCCCATATGTGCGACAGAAAGCGAGTCGTTGCTCAAACATGCGTCGCGCAAAAGATAAGTTTCGTATCTCACAACGGTCAATTTGGTAGTGCAAAGTTCCAACTTTATACGACGAGAACCAAACTCGTCGCGCAAGTTTTTCTTACGCGACAATAACGTGTATTGTCGCGCTACTTATTCTATTGCAACAATAGATTTCGTTGAGCCAGTGTTTGGCGCCAAATAATATAACACAACGTTTTCTTGCTAACTCTACGCGACAATAGGATATATTGTCGCTCTAAGTTTGCTTTCGCGATGATGTGATTCGTCGCGCATGGTTTGGTGCCAACTTTACGCGACGATAACGTGTATTGTCACGCTAAGTGTTCGCGTTAGTTTAGAAATATAAAATTATTATCCACGATAGTTTGAGCTACGAATGCGCTTTTGCATCGCGCAAGTGCTTCTTGTGCGACGAATTTATATTTGTCGCTCAAAATACGACCATCGCACAAATAGTAAAACGTAGTAGTGTATCTTGTGGGTGCTCCAATATGTTGATGATACAATATCTGTACTAAGATAGGAGAAATTGCTTTGACATAAAAGAAAAAACTACTAAAGATGAATTGATGGCTGCATATGCATGTCGATTGGATTGCATGCAAGGTCACATTGATATCATGTACCTAATTTACCAGATCAACATGATATCAATGTGACCTTGCATGTCCCTTTTTTTTTTTTAAAATCAAATATCATCGGCATGATTGACATTCTTGATTACAAGGGACCATAATTTTTTACAAAAACTGTCCTATGCTTTGGACCTATTACATCTTGTTCTTGATAGGGTTTAGGAGAGAGGTGGACGGGCTTTTCAACACATACCCATTTTTGAGCTTTGCTTAATGAGTCGGAGTGGGCGACTGCTTGCCTATAAAAAGGTGGCAGCCCCCCTCTCCGATAAGGCCAAGCAAAACAATATTTTTTCTTTAATTAACATTTACACATTGGGATTAAAATTCTGATACCATATTAATTAAGAATTTATTCTCTCTCATCGCATTAATCGTTTTCACTCAAATGACCCGCAAAAGACCGAAGTCAAGCACACACGCAGAAGGGGAAACGAAGGAAGAGGAAGAGCAAGCCTTGCAAGTTGAAGGGCAGATCCACCATCGCCGGCTGAAGAGTGGACCCGACAATCAGGTATGGGTATCGCTGTCGATGGTTATTTTTTTATCTCTTTTCTCCATCTGGGTTGTGGTTTTAGATTTGGGTTTCTGTGATGGTTTTTTTATATGGGTTTGAAAATTTCTGTTCAAGGTTGAGATTACACCTGATTTCTCGTGGGTTTCTTGATTTTGAGTATATGTGTTATATGAGCTGGGTTGTAATGGTCGTGAGAAAACAAGAAACCATTTGATCTTCTGTTAATCAATAAGGAATGCATTCGAATCCTGTGGGATTCACACTTTGATTTGTGGATTGATTTTTTTTTTCCCCACATTCATGTCAATTTCCTCTACCTTCTGTTGATTTCTATTGGGTTTCATGTTTTTTTTCAAAGAAAAAAAATGAATTGTTGTGGGTTAGTTCTAGGACTCACTAATCTGCAACAAATAGAGAATGAGTTTGTATAAATTCATGTCATTTACTTATTGTTGTTGAGGTAAGAGATATAACTATTTAATTTTGTTATGGAACGCATAAAAGTGGTCTAAATAATCCTTCTAAGTCTGCAAATAATCTTTTTTATTTTCAAAACCAGAATGCACACAGCCAAACGATAAGTTAGTTAAAATTTGTATGTTATCCAGTGAAAGTAGATGATTTTAGTGAGCCTAAACAATTTCAGCCTAAAGAATTGTAAGCCAAGTACAGAATACTATAAAAATGGCTTTAGCACCTTAAACAAAATGTAACTGTTTGTTATGGTAAAGAAAAGGAAAAAGGTCACTTTCCTTCCCTGTCTCTGAAGCATATGTTTTTGTATGTGCCAGTGAAAGCCTAAGGATTTAACATATCTTTTTTTTTTTTGAAATTAGATGATAATACAGTTCTATTCGGTTCAGGAACTTGCTTCTTTTACTTTAATAAAGATAAATATAATAGAATTGCTTAACTGAATTTGTGATGTTCATAATACTTCGCTTATGTATGACAGTGATAATAAACTTTAAATCTGTTGTCATTCATGAATTCATTAAAATAACTATAAATGCTTTGAAGTACTTAGAATGTATCTCTTTTTCAGATGTTTATAGTGTTTGAGTTATATGAAAGTTTTGTAATTGCAGGAAGAAAATATGATAATTGAAGGTATTTATCTATTTCGTTTGTTTTTGTTTTCTTGCAGGCTATATGGCTAAACCGAACGAGACGATCATTTTTGCCCGCAAATGTTAAGCTTGGCTTTAGTAGACGGAGGCCGTGGCTCAGAGTTTCTATGAAATCATGATCTCATTTATGTTTTAGTGATACTTCTTTTGTTAAGCGTGTAAATTGTATCTCAATGCCTTAGATTAGGTGATGTAAATCTAAAGTTTGTTTTATCACACTTGGGACCTGTAATTATCAACGTTTGATGGTTGAAAGAGCTTCATGGCAGTTTAGAGCTATTCAAATTTCTGCATAATTCACGAAAGCCAAGCATGCTAATGTTCCTAAGTCAGGCTTGGGAGTCACATGACAAATCATCACTGTTCACATGTATTTTCTGCAAACAAACTCATGTCATCAACCAGAAATTTCTGATCATTATTATTTCCACACCGAATATAGCACTTTCTTTTGGATTACAAACATTGCAATGGAAACAACTAAATCATGTTTGCTCCTTCGAAGCTCTTCTTCTACAGAAATTTGCCACAACCATACGTGCATTTCAAATCAAAACATTCCGATTCATATCTGTGAGAGGGACCTTATCTCCATAAAATTTCCGCATGAACTTCACTGCTACTATTGGACTTTTTATCTAGCACAAAAACAATTTCAATTTCAAATGCATATTAACAATTCGTAAGCAATCTCATAAGCAAGTACAAAAACAATTTTGCATGTGTACTATAAAGGACTAAAATATATCCGTAACACCTTAATCAGCTAAATAGAGCTCATCATTTAACTATTGAAAGCATCACCAATATAGGTTGTAATTGTAAACATAATATGAGACAAAATTTGGAAAAAGGATTATATACAGTTTAGTGCTCACCTACTACAGCTAACAAGTCTCTACGGTTTTTTTCACAAAGCAATAGCTCCAATACTTTCTATGTGAACCTATGCCAAGACGAAGGCAACATCTGCTTTCTGATTCGCACAACCGAAGCTACAAGGATGGAGTCAGATATACCAACAAATATCATCTATACACACACAGGCCTTACACAGAGACACAAGAGACCGAGATTCTTATTGTGATCTAGTTCTTGCAATTTATATGAATCAAGGCAATCGAGTACTGTCTATCAGCATTGAAGAGGGGGAGAAACAAGGCCACAACTGCCTTATGGGCATACAGTGAAAATGAAACAAAAAAACGTGTTGTCCTTGCTTATAAGTGTTCTCCCACAACTTGATACACAGGTATCAAGGCATACAACAATTCCAATATGACATGAATGCGACTTCATACATTTGTACATGCAGATTTCTAAAAAATAATGCTTATAATTGTTTGTCATTGAAAAGCACACAAGCCCATTCACTATTTGATATCCCAATATGAAATTGACTTTTTTTGTTTGTTTTTGTTTTGGTTGCCTATGCCGTTAGAACTCATTCTCTAATTTTACAAGAAATTTCTTATAAATAAAAAAAATGAAACCCAATAGAAATCAACAGAAAGTAGAGGAAATTGACATGAATGTGGAAAAAAAAAAAAAAAATTCACAAATCAAAGTGTGAATCCCATAGGATTTGAATGCATTCCTTATTAATTAACAGAAGATCAAATTGTTTCTTGTTTTCTCATAACCATTCAAAATCAAGAAACCCACGAGAAATCAAGTATAATCTCAACCTTGAGCAGAAATCTTCAAACCCATATTAAAGAACCCCAAATTGAAAACCACAACTCAGATGGAGAAAAGTGAGAGAAAAATAACCATTGATATCGATACCCATACCTGATTGTCGGATCCGCTCTTCAGCTGGCGATGGTGGATCTGCCCTTCAGCTTGCAAGGGCTGGCTCTTCCTCTTCCTTCGTTTCCCCTTCTGCGTGCGTGCTTGACTTCGGTCTTTTGCGGGTCATTTGAGTGAAAGCGGGTTACAACTTTTAAAACAATCACAGCCGCACAATCTCATTAAAAGACATCCAACGGCTGAGCGCCCCATCCCTCAAATAACACTATTTGAGGGATCCCTCAACTGAAGGGGACTGCGCATTAATTATCTATAATTAATTCATTCTCTCTCTTCTAAAGAGAATTGACGCCCCCTCCTCTGCCTTTGCTTCTTCTATCTCTCTCTTGTCCCATTCTCATCCCCAAAGCCACCCTCACCACCACCACCACTCCTACCCCTACCTTATTGATCTTGGACTTGGCTTTGCTTCTTCTATCTCTCTCTTGTCCCATTCTCATCCCCAAAGCCACCCTCACCACCACCACCACTCCTACCCCTACCTTATTGATCTTGGACTCGGCTGCGCCTTCACTATACCTCTCAAGAGTTACATGCACGAGATTGGTTTAGCTGACTTTGTCTTTCTCAATTCCGTTATGAACTTTGTAGCCTAATAAAACAATTATTATAAATAAAAAAAGTGCAAAACGATATGGTTTTCTCAATTCCTTAATGACTCAGTCTAGCTTCATGTCAGACTTCTGGTCAGGTTGCCCATTGCACTGTAAATTTTACTTTTACTTTTTAATTCTTTCAAATGTTGTCCCTTAAAATAATTATGCATGGTAATATCAACACGACTACATGATATAATTGAAAACCTCCAACAGTCGATGCATAAATACTTGCACCAAAATCTCTTAAGCAATTGTCTACCAAGCACAACCTCCCATTGTCCAGGATTGATCAGGTGAGGGGATGCTTAATTATCATGTTCTCAAAACTTTCTAGGAACTAATATGCTAGATGAATTGTACCTATATGGAGAGAGAGAGAGAGAGAGAGAGAGAGATTAGATTACCAAGCAAAAAAGAATATTACCAAGAAGAGAGATTATGTTTCCAAGAAAAAAGGGAGGAGAGAGAAAATATTTTTATTTTATTTTTATGAGAGAGAAAATAAAATTAATGATTGTTTATTGAAAACATTAAAACTATTTCTCATGTCAGATTTAATCTCAATCATTAAAAGTGGAGTAATCTAATGGCCTAAAAATTGTGTCAAAACTTGTGTCAAAAATATTGTGCCACGGATCCGCTATATAATTTGGGGCCCTACAAATGCAAGGCCCATGGCCATCGCCCTCCTTGCCCGCCCTCAGGGCCGGCACTAAAAACAATGTAATCAATCATCACACAAGCTAATTTTTCTTTTCCATCGCTTGGATTTGGTGGAGAGCAGAGAGTGGGGGAGGGGCTACTGGGCAATGGGGGTGTACGTGTAGTGGAAGGGTTAGGGGAAGTCGTGGGATAATTAGGTTAAGTTTTTTTATTTTGAAATTTATAATTTTGTGAGTTTTAAATATATCCTTAAGTTGTTTAGTTATAGGAAATTAACATAAATGCCCTTAAACTTAACCGAAAATTTAATGAAATTAACAATACAAATTAAAAGTTCAGGTGGTAATTATGCACATGCCTAAAAGTTCAGGTGGTATTTATACAATTTTCTCTTTTCTATATGGCCGTTTAAAATGTTTTCTTTTATCACCCGTATGTGCATCTCAATAGTTTTGTTTTTTATTTTATGGCGCGTAAACTATTGAGATGGATATATCTAGAAAAATACAGGCGATAAACTGTTTCGAAGGATAGATTCTTTGAAAATGTCATTCTTAAGCCCATTGTGAACCGGACTAAATGACTTTTATCACAATGTATGGCACTAGTGATCATATCAATTTTCTTTTTTAATTTTTTTTAATTCTCTTTCCCAGGATTCTTTTGTGCAATAATAGAAATTAGGATGTGTTCGTGACTTGTTGTCAATTTCTTATTTTCCTTTTTTATTGTATATAAATATGACATCTAATGTTACATGTCACCGTGATTGACTGTCTCTAAGTGCAGTATTACATGTCATGTAGTGGTGGAACATGGGTTCGAGTTGTATATGGATGACTCAACATTCATCGATTTTTCTTGGTTGTCTCAACTCAAGGTATGCTTCAATATACACGATTCACATTTTAGATAGTATCATGATGATGAGTCAAAGATGCATGCTCCTAGTCCTAGCTAGTGTAAAAATCTAATCTCAAGTCAAGAGTGAGCATTTCTACTTGGGTTGGGTGATTTAAGGGTCGCAATTACAAAAACAAAAAGGATATTATTTCTTCTCGCACTCCGGGGAGGCTCGGGCACAAATGACTAATGTGTTCACCTTGCTTCTTACATACTAAACAATCCATGAAGATTGCACGTCCTTGGCTTATGCCACAACTGGCACAACATAAGCCTCTAAACTGACAGCCGCACAGCTTGCAAACGACCACACAACCACTGCCAACAATGGCATTCTTTGGGACATCAGATTTGTAAGGGCAAAAGTATGAAATGTGATCACCCACCTTCAAACAATACAGACATTCACCTGTGCAATTTGTAGATCCATTGTTAAATACAATAAAAATAATTATTTATTATTTAAAAATATAGTGAATGAATGAAGGTGTGTAGTATTTTTTTTTCTTTTTGTTTATACAATCATTAAGACAACAAGGTCTAGACTAGTAGAAATTGACCCTGACTTGCAGACGATTTGATAGTGTGTGTGTGTGTGAGAAACCCACATCTACTTGCAGTTTAGAATATTGCTTGTATTTAAAAAAAAAAAAAACATTCAAAAGCATACCAATACAACTCTTATCATTTGGTTCATCAGCCTTGACACCTGTTTGCAACAATTACATTGTTAAATAATAATAAAAAGGTGATGAGTCAAAGAGGTTAGAATGAATGAGATCTATGATCCCATCAACAAATAACTATATTATTAAATATCGTGCATCATGCATACACTAAAATAACTTGACTACGGAAGCAATTTTCAACATGACATAGAATAACAAGAAATACATAGATATTATGTCATAAAATAGAGAAGTTGCAATGGTATCTAAAATCAAAATCATATCAATACGATTAGGAGGGAGGAGGGAGGAGGGAGGAGGGAGGAGGCTCTCTAGTAAATATTTTTCCTTTTTATCTCTAAACTTAATAGGCCAACGGGATCTAGTATAGAGAAAAAGAGCGTTAACTTTCTAATCAATAATCACTTGTTCGAACATATGTGTGAGAAACTCACCTCTAAGCAGTTTAAACTATCGCTTGTATTCAATAAAAAAACAAAACAAACAAAAGCATACCAAAAATAGGATTTGTAGAAGGGTTTCAGTGCAGTTTAAAAGAAGTCGAAGGTTTTTCAAGGCATTGTTTTGCAGCCTTTTGTTCTTCAGCCTTGCTACCTGTTTGCATGGAATTAAATTGTTAATTATGAAAATAAAAAGGAAAAGAATGAGTGATCATGTCAAAGAAGTTAGAAGGAATGACATTGATCCAATTAGAAAATAACTATATCATTAAATATCGACTATCCATCATGCACACCAAAATAACTTTGCTGGAAAAAATCATCTTCAAAAACAGATTCAAAATTTTTGTACAATATATATCATCTAATTACACCAACAGAAGTAAAAATTAAAACAACACTTCGTTTTTTTCCAAACCACACAAAGCCCAAGCAAATTTCATATAATCTTCCTCACAAACCAGAAAAACAAAAATCAAGAGCATATAGGAGCACTAGGACACAAGGTAAAAATATAATTTTTCATACACAAAAGCTGAGGGTATAAAATTCAAAGCCCAAATGATTATATTGCATATAGTCTTTGTCATCCTTGAATTAAAAGAAAAAGGAAAGGCATACCGATTATTGGCGTATCGCAGTTGAGGGGGACCGTATCTGGCGATAAAAGGTCCTTTCCGCCGCCGTCCTTATGGAGCACCTCCGACTGGGAATCCAATTTCAGGCACTCCAAAGATGAGACAAGGTCCACGGCTGTGTTCTGTAGAGCTTGGGGTTTGGCTTTACGGTTGCGACTTGTGAGAGAAAAAACGACGGGTGGTTTGGTTTGGCTTTAGGGTGAATTCAATTGTGAGAGAATGAAATAAGGGAGATGAATTCTTACTTGTTATATAGGCGTGGGCGTGCATTACAAGTCTTTCTCAACCGACCATATTAATCAATATTATTTTTCTCCATTTCAGCCTTGATTGAATAATAAATTATCATTAAAAACTAATCGGTAGCATCTTTAATAAGCAGCGCATTAATTTCTTTCTAGTTTTGATTTTCGGATTTCGTTTCCTCAAGTAGCGTTTCAGTTTTTGGTTCCTTCCTTAGTTAGGATTTTGGTTTCTTATTTCATTAGAATTTTGGTTACTTACTAATTATTATTTAGTCCTATTGTAATAGAGATTTACTTCCTATTGTAATTTAGATATATTTCCTATTTCATTTAGGGTTGCAGTGATTAACAATTGGCTAAAACCTAAATTTACTTTTTATTTTCCAAAGCAGTACTTGCAGTGATTAACCATTGGAATTTGGATCTGTCTACAAACAATCCAAACAAAATCAGTTACAGCTTAATTTCATGAATTAGCAAAGACATGCGACCAACTTCAATTACTTCCCAAAAATAATATTCTTCCTATAAATTTTTTTTCAAAACTATCCATACTCAAAACAAAAAGCACCGGTATAAGGGTCGCCATTAAAAACAAGATGAGGATAATATTTCCTCTCGTGGCTCGGGCAATCAGAAGTCATGTGTTCACCTAGCTTCCTACATATTGAACAATCCTTGAGGATTGCACGTCCTAGGCTTATGCCACATTTGGCACAACATGAGCCTCAAAAGCGGCAGCCGAAAACCTTGCAAATGACCACACAACCACTGCCAACGATTGCTTTCTTTGGGACATCAGATTTGTAAGGGCAAAGGTGTGTAATGTGATCACCCACCTTTAAACAATACAAACATTCACATGTGTGCAATTTGTAGATTCATTGTTAAATACAACAGAGGTAATAAAAATAATTATTTATTATTTAAAAATATAGTGAATGATTGAAGATGTCTTTCTTTTCCTCTGCAAAATCATTAAGACCATGTCAGCAAACCAATCCCTTACATGATTTACTGCGACTTTTAAGGTGATTGAATTGAAAGCAGATCAAAGGCTATACACATTATATAATATTGCTTTATTTTTGTCCTTTTTTTAAAGCGATCAAGAGCAATATACATGAGCACAAAACTGTCTGATTCCAAATTTTCATCTCTCTCTCTCCATCTCTCTCTCTCTCTCTCTCTCTCTCTCTCTCTCTCTCTCTCACAGAGTGATTCAAACCCCTATCTTTCTCAATGAACCACAGCTCCTTATCCAACTCGCTGCGGCTGAGTTTGTGTCTATATCTTCAGCTTGTAATATTTATAAGGTCTTTAAAATATATGCAAAGGTAATATTATCTAAGATAAATTTCCATATTACAAAAATTCCCTAAGAATAAATTTAAGCATATATTTAATGTTATTTATTATTTTATAATGGAGTAGTATTTTGTTGTTGTTATATATTATGGAGTTTTATTATTATTCACTTCGAGTTTTAATATTGTTCATTATATGTGATACTAAGTCTGAATTTTAATAGGAATTCTTTCTATGTGGTACTAAATTACTCATACATTTTATCTTTGTTTTTTTGGTTAAGCTTATATATTTTATCATATGTATCAAGTGTAATATATTGATGACAGGACCCGCCCGAAATTCCCTCGAACCCGGGACGAATCCCGTCTTTTTGCCGACATCACCCCGATACCAGGCCCACTTACTAAAACCCGAGACTTTCTACCAAAAATTTGGCAGAGTCTCCCCTGTAAAATGCACAAACCCAACAAAAATTCAACCTGCTTAATACACATAGTATGATCCCAACCAGCAGCATGCTTTCAACAAACAACATTACATACTAAATGGCCTCCGGCCTCAAGTAAAAACCTAACATGTGCAATAACAGAGCATCTAACAGATTTAGTTTACAACAACAGTTGAGTAGAAAGAATTTACTCAGATCCTAACTAGGGAAGTTCACAGTTCGAGCCTCATACACCACTTGCACGCTTTCAGGAGCGGCTACTGTCTGGGGAGCGCAAAACAAAAAATATGTGAGTGGACAAAAATAAAGTTTGCATTTAAAACAACATAATAACCCCACCATGTAAAAATAATGCTTAAGACAATGTAGTTTCATACTCATAATCAAATGATCAAAACACGGTTCATTGAAACCCTTTAAAACCACAAACTTCATTCCCAAAATTATGTTGCTCTTGCCAACCCACTACATATATATATATAATTATAAATATATCATATACTTCTCTCACTACTTATGTACCGGAGAAACAATCCAACCGGGGGATTGTTTGGCTGGCCCGCAGGATTTCCTGGTGCTATCCTACGTCTAGGGATGAACAGTCCAACCGGGAGACGAAACTCCATAGCTCACACGCCGGAACTACCAACGCCACATGTAGCTCACATACCGTTTACCAAGTCCTACGCGCGCAGACTACATCATCACACACCGGAACTACCAACGCCATGTGTGATGATTCCCAGCAATATACATACTCTTCCCATACACCGGAACTACCAACGCCACGTATGGGAAGTGTCTCACACGCCAGAACTACCAACGCCACGTGTGGAAAGCCTAGTAACAAGGGGATGATACTTACATAATGTAATCATACATCTCTCAACAACCCCTCATACTCAATCTTTTCACAATCTCACATCAACAACCCCTCATACTCAAATATATCCAAACCCAAAATATATATTGCCAAAGCTCATAAAAACATCAAATTCAACCACCAAATATATATATTATATCCCATATACCATTTAAAACATTATGCATAAATCTTTCATCAATAAAACCATGCGTATGATTGAAAACAAAGCTGCCTGCTGACTGAGTACGATCAACCGGAGCACCTATTTCGAGATATGAACCTTTAATTAATATAAAAATCACTTCGAAATGGAAATCACAAATACCTAAATCCCCAAGTTCCCGGTGCATGTACATAGAATGCGATATCCTAAGGTCCGGATATAGGTTTAGGAAACGCTCACAGTTGGATGGTTATCAATAACCCACAAATTTTGAATTATTGAATCGGAACATCCGGGGCTTCGATTCACGATCCGCGAAATCCTATACGATTCTAAGAGTACCTAGAACAACATACTTTAATTTGGAAACGATCCAAACGTCAGAACCCATCGAACCAGGATAACACACAATATGCGAAATCCGTTCGATAGTCAAACAACATCCAAATTGAGATCAGCGAAATCCTACGCACTCGTGACAACCTGAGGATCTCATCAGGACAAAATGTAACTTCACCACCCTTGCCCACTCGCCGGCAGCGCGTGGGTGTGTAGAGTAAATTCCGGTGACAGAAAAACTCCACACCACAGCTCACCCTTCCTATACCCTAGATACTTCTCGAGGCCAGGATCACTTCTTTCAACTACGGGAAGGTCCAATTCGGACGGCAACCGGCCGGAATTTCACTTTGAAATATGGCCAAAACCTAGGTTTCGAAATCGTTTCCCAAACTCAAAATCAATCCCAACCTAAGCAACAGTCAACTAGAACTCAGAAAATGGATGAGAAACCATACCTCACCCGTCGGAATTGGTGGCCAGAGGAGAGAGATCGAGCGGTGAGAAGTTCTGTAAAAAATCGGCCTGTTCTCAGGCTTATTCCGGCGGTTTTCGACGGTTCCCGGGGTGGAGATCGGTAGGAAGTGGAAGAGGAGAGTGGCCTGATTCGTTTGGGATCGGTCCCGTCGATCGGGGTGGCCGGAAGTAGCGGCGGTGTGGTGGTTTCTGTTCGGATGAATAGTAACAGGGGAGGGGGAGCTCGCAGGAGAGAGAGAAGACGCACGGGGGAGAAAGAGAGAGTGAGGTAGAAAGTGAATTTTCAGATTTTTACCCAAACTTACTTCGAAATAATTACGGTAGCGCCACTGAACTTGTTTTGATCGCCAAATCTTCATTACAACTCCGCTTCAAGCCTATCACATGTCTACAAATTCGTCTCAATACGACCTACCCAAAAATACCAGTCACTGCCCCAAACTCTTTTCAAATAAGAAAATGACCAAAATATCCCTACCCTAAGGGTAAATTTGTAATTTCACTTAAATAGATTAAAGTAGGAATTAAATTTGGAGTCGGGGTGTTACAATTGAAGTAAATTATTATAACTAAAAAATTATGGTGTGTTTAATTTTCTTGCACTCATTACTACATATTTTCTAAAGTCACAATGTTTGTCAGGTCGCTTCATAATCAACTTAAATCACTCAAACCCACCATGCCATGCATTTCCTTCCAATTTTTTGTGATAAAATAATAGACAATTGACTAAGTAAACATCCTCTAAAGTTTCAATAAAATTTTTCAAGTTTTTCTCACAATTTCCGTGATTTTTATTCAATTTTTATCGATATCGATATTTTCTCAATATTTCCATCAATATATCCGTGTTTTTGAACAACGGATATTTCCAAAACTCCAGATATTTTAGACCTTGGTTGCAGCTATATTTCTTGCATCTAAAGCTTGTTTTGTATACCCACTAATGCTCGTTGAAGCATATGAGTACAAAAGACAGGGAGGAAAGCTGAGAAAGGAAGGAAAGCAGGGGGGGAATGATTTTAGCCTTCCTCAGTTCAAATGCAGTTCTGGGCAGTATAATTAATCTCACAAGTTTCTTTGGGGAGTATTATGACAATGATTTAAATGCTTTGTCCAAAAAGGTCTCTCCATTTGGCAATAACTCACAAGATAGATTCTTTGAAACCCATTGTGAACCGGACTAAATGACTTTTATGCCAAATCAGTAGTGCCGTATTACATGTCATGTAGTGGTGGAACATGGGTTCGAGTTGTATATGGATGGCTCAACATTCATTGATTTTTCTTGGTTGTCTCAACTCAAGGTATGCTTCAGTATGTCACATTTCATGAAATATCATGATGATGAGTCATAGATGCATGCTCCTAGTCCTAGCTGGTGTAAAAATCTAATCTCAAGTCAAGAGAGCATTTCTATTTGGGTTGGCTGATTTTCTTTCATTTCTCTATTTTGATTTAACTGGCCTCAATTCCACCAACAAAAGTAGAACAAAAACAACACTTTCTTTTTCTCCAAACCACACAAAGCACAAGCAAATTCCAAATAATCTTCCTCACAAACTCTGAAAACAAAATTAAGGGCCAGTAAGCCCGATGTAAGGGTCAAAATTACAAAAACTAGGATAACATTTTATCTTGCGGCTCGGGCACTCATAATTCATGTGTTCACCTTGCTTCTCACATAATGAACAATTCATGAAGACTGCACGTCCTTGGCTTATGCCACAACTGGCACAACATGAGCCTCTAAAGCGGCAGCCGCACACCTTGCAAAGGACCGTACAACCACTGCCAACGATGGCATTCTTTGGGACATTAGATTTGTAAGGGCAAAAGTGTGAAATGTGATCACCCACCTTTAAACAATACAAACATTCACCTGTGCAATTTGTAGATCCATTGTTAAAATAAATAAAAATAGTTATTTATTATTTATAAAAAAAGTGAATGAATGAAGGTGTGTAAGTTTACACAATCATTAAGATAACAAGGTCTAGACTAGTAGAAATTGACCCTGACTTGCAGACGATTTGATAGTGTGTGTGTGTGTGTGTGTGTGTTAGAAATCCACGTATACTTGCAGTTTAGACTATCGCTTATATTTTAAAAATAAAAATAAAAACATTCAAAAGCGTACCAAAACAACTCTTATCTTTTGGTTCATCAGCCTTGAAACCTGTTTGCAACAATTACATTGTTGAATAATAATAAAAAGGTGATGAGTCAAAGAGGATAGCATGAATGAGATCTATGATCCCATCAACAAATAACTATATTATTAAATATCGACTATGCATCATGCATACACTAAATAACTTGGCTACGGAAGCTATTTTAAACATGACATAGGATAACAAGAAATACATAGATATTATGTCATAAAATAGAGAAGTTGCAATGGTATCTAAAATCAAAAGCATATCAATACGATTAGGAGTCTGTAGTAATTTTTTTTCCTTTTTATCTCTAAAATTAATAGGCCAATGATCTAGTATAGAGAAAAGGGCCTTAACTTTCAGACCAATAATATCTAGTTTGAACTTATGTGTGAGAAACTCACCTCTAACTTGCAGTTTAAACTATCGCTTGTATTCAATTAAAAAAAAACAAAAAAAACAAAAGCATACCAAAAGTAGGATTTGTAGAAGGGTTCCAGTGCGATTTAAAAGAAGTCGAAGGTTTTTCAAGGCATTGTTTTGTAGCCTTTTGTTCTTCAGCCTTGCTACCTGTTTACATGGAATTAAATTGTTAAATATGAAAATAAAAAAGCAAAGAATGAGTGATGATGTCAAATAAGTTAAAAGGAATGACATTGATCCAATTAAAAAATAACTGTATCATTAAATATCGACTATCCATCAAGCACACCAAAATAATTTTGCTGGAAAAAATCATCTTCAAAAACAGATTCAAAATTTTTGTACAATATATCCTCTAATTACACCAACAGAAGTAAAAATTAAAACAACATTTTGTTTTTTTTTCCAAACCACACAAAGCCCAAGCAAATTTCATATAATCTTCCTCACAAACCAGAAAAACAAAAATCAAGGGCATATAGGAGCAC